GTGGCCGCAGCGTAGATGGTGGTGCAGGAAGGTCGCTCGGCGGCAGGGACCCCTTTCTGCTTCTGCGTGGGGTGCAAAGGATGAGCAGCGGCAACTCGGGGCCCTTCCCTCCCTCCACCCTACGTGGACCCACCGTTTCCTCCCCATTTGCATGGAGCAGGACTCAGGGAGGGGTCGAGGGGGAAAACCAACCACACAGTCTGTCCCTAAAGCCACCCTGGGATGCTGGGGAAGCTGCAGCACCCAAACTTATTCCTAGCGCTTCCCAAATTAACGGCAGCCAGGCTGACTCCTGGAACGGCAGGGATAGGTGACCCCAGGGAGACCACGGCCACCATTTCACCCTCTCCCTTGCCCGTCATGGGGCTCTGTTGACACCCAGTGGCCAAAGCCCTTCACAGTGGGTGCAGCGGACCAGCCAGGAGGCAATGACCCACACCTTTGGGTGCTCCTGCCCAAAGCCAGAGGCCCCCCACCCAAGAAACCCCGTCAGCATCGTGCGGGTGCTCCCCACCAGCCGCAGTGCTCGGGGTCCTGTCTTTAAAGGATGCTCCAACACTAGATGAGCAATTTTCCCCCCGTGCACTGAGGCCGGCTGGGGTCGTGCTGGTCGTGGCTCACCTCCACCCGTTGCACTTGGGAGTAGATGGTGTGCACCGCGCTGTCCTCGGCAATCAGCGTGTGCTCCTGCTCCTGGCCAGCTGCAGGGGGGATAGACGAGTCACTGAGAGCTGCCAGGGGAGCAGGGACTGGGGGGGACCCACTGGCACGTCCTGCTCTCTGTGCCCCAAGGCAGGGCCAGGGTGAGCCCGTGCTGGATCCGTCCACAGCACAGCATCCCTGTCGCTGCAGCTGCCCGGCTGTGGTCAAAGGATTTTGGGCCACCACAGGGCAGCTTTGCAAGTCTGTCACTACACAGGGAATGGGAAGGTGGGGGCACAGCTCAGAGAGATGATGCTCCCTCTGATTTCAGCTGAGATCATCCAATTCCCCTTTGGACCATGCAATACGATCTCAGAAGCTCATCATCCGGGTAAAGCATTGGAGATCATTTGCAGGTACATTTCTCTTTCTTTTTTTTTTTCCTTTTTTTTTTTTTTTTCTTTTTTAAGCTAGTTTCCTTCCTGCCTTTTGCTCTGCTTCAAGAGAAACAAGTTTCGCTCCATCCCAAGGGTGCTCTGTAGACAAGATGCCTGCAGGAATCAGCCCCTTGGTCCATTCTCCAGGGCTGCCTGGGGGCAGCTTCTATCCCCCTGCAAGGCTCACCCCACCTGCAGACCACCAACCACCCCAGCACCCCTCCCTCACGGCACTCACCGGTAGGCATGGCCACACGGATGGCCATGAAGACCCCAATAAATACCATCGCTACGATGATGGGCACCACCACTATCCACACGAGATGCTCCGTCCTCAGTCCAGTGCCGCCTGGGATGGGAGGCAGAGAGGGTAGGGGGTCAGCTGCCAACCCTGGGACCCAGGGCCACCCAGAGCTGAGCAGTGGGCTGGTAAACTCTTCCTTCATCTCTTCACCTAATTTTGGTCTGATGATTTCGGTAGAACAGGAAGCAAGAGGCAGGAAACGCTTCTCTTGAGCAGAGCTCTCTGTAATCGCCTCCAGACTGCAACAGTCAGCGATAAAAAAAAAACAACTGCGGGCCAGATCGGGGCCAGATAAAGCCCTAAAAACATCTCCGTGGCTTTACAGAGGCCTGCGGGGAGGCAGCCCCTTTGGACAACGCCCTTGCGTCGCAGGGGCGTGGGAAGAGGGCTCTGGGACACAGCTCTGCCGCTCCAGCCACCAGCCAGGCTCCCACTGCGGGGAGGCACACGGGGTGGCCCTGCTCCTGGACCACTAACAGGGACACCATGCAGGGGTGTCCCATGGTGCAAGGGGGTTTTGGGGCGAAGGGCTGAGAAACAAGCCTGAAATTCCCCTGGAGCATCTCATTTCAGCATCTCCCTTTCCTAAGCAAGAGTCCCAACTGTTTTTTTCCCACGGGGATGTTTTCTCAGGACAGGTCACTGCGAGAGCCCCAGCAGAGGTGTGACTTTGCCTCCGGGTCCCTGGGGAAAGGGGCGGCCACTGCGTTGCCTGGCCCCAGTGAAAGTCCCCCACGTCACAAGGCAGCACTAAAAATTCCCTGTGAGAGAGAGCATGACTTTTACCCCGACAGCCTCTGAAGGGGAAGTTGTTAGCGAGGTTTTTTATCCCCTCCCAAGCCACCCAGCAGTTGAAATGAACCTCGAGCACTGGGGCGCAGCGAGTGCGGTGACTGGGCTGGCCATGGAGGAAGGTGGGAGCCACAGCTCTGCAGACAGCTTTTACGGGAAGAGCTGGGCTACCCTGAGCAGGTGATGATGCAGCGGCCGCGTTTCTTGCAAAAGACCCCTTTGACACTGCCTAAAGCAGCGTGAAAACGTCCCCTGCAAAGCAAAAGCAGGGCCAGGAGGCTGGGCGCTTGCCTGGGGACTTACCCGCTTGCTTGTAGCTGCACTCAGAGGAGTTGAAGTTGACGACCCGGCTGCTGATGGGGTTGCTGGCCGTGCAGGCGCAGGCGATGCTTGAGTTCTGCAGGGGGTAGGAGGTGTGCAGGAGGCTGCCGTTGTGGAGGCAGAGCCCCGAGGTGCTGTTGTCCTGGCTGCCCCAGCTGTAGGAGATGCTGTCCCCTCGCTCCGCCGTGCAGTTGAGGGTGACGGTGCAGCTGCCGTTGGCCAGCGCCCAGCTGAGGATCTGGATGCTGGGATCGGACACCGGCTCTGGAGAGAGGGAAGGAGGGAGCAAAGGTTTGTGTCTGGGGAAGGATGCAAACATTGCCTTGGCCCCTGCCTGGGAAATCCTGTTGGTCCTCACCTAAACCCCCAGGAGAAAAACCGATTTGGCCCCAGACCCGCTGCCAACAGCGCTTAGAGAGGGACGTGGTCTGCACACACCCAAAGGCTCCTTGGGTGTACCCAGATAGGGCTGCAAGAGGGTTCTGCACATCAGGGTGGGCATGTCCCACCCACCCCTTGACCACCACCCACCTCCCAGACCTGCTCCCAGCACCGCAA